CTACTGAGTTGGTTTTGAGTATATTTTCCCATCCACTGCGGTGCTGACACGGTTACTACCTTACCTGTCCAGAAGGGAGCAGCAGGTTAGACTTGCTGTGACACTTCATGCACAAAGTGGTGTTTCTATTTACCTTTCAAGAAGAAGAAAATCATGTAAACTTAGTTTATTATACCTAAGCCTCTAGAAAATTAAAGACAGAGAATAAGAAGAGAAAGAAGAGGATGCTGCTGTATTTGCTGAGCAAACTGAGTTCTAAAATGTACGGCGTTGTGTATTATTTTTTAGGTGCCTGATTAGTTGTGGACTTTAATCAAATCTAATATTTTTATGTACAAATGTATATTAGAAACTTACATAAAACAGAACTAAAAGATAAATTTATTTTGGTGCCAAATATTTGACAATCCAGCCAAGTTTTTTCCTTAATATTCATTTTCTGTTAATAATTTAAAAACTGCTGATACACGTATACTAAGTGTAAAAGCTACGAAGATGTGAATTTCTCAGAAAATAATAATTCTAATTGTAGTAAGATTTGGTGATATAGACTATCAGGCCAATGTTAAATGGTGTTTAGATTTCTTGATTTAAGATGGCAGAGAGCTCCTAGCCTTGTGATATGATGACTTAACCACTGCTTGTGGCACCAACAACCCGTGTTGGAGTGCTGATTTGAGTTTTGCATGCTTCAGTCAGGATCCTGTTCTCTGCTGGTAAGTCTGGCAAGGCAGCAGAGGATAGTCCCAGCTCGGAACCCTGCCACCTGCGTTGGAGAACTGGCTGGAGTTCCTAGCTCTTAACTTGGCCTGTCCCAGCCCCTGCCATTATGACAATTTTGGGGAATGAGCCAGTAGTCAAAGTATTCTCTCTCTCTCTCTCTCTCTCTCTCTCTCTCTCTCTCTCCTTCCTCCTCCCTCCCTCTCTCATTTTTGAGAAGCAGAGTAACAGAGGCAAGCAGTGACACACAGCTCTCATTTGTTGATTTGGTCCCTGAACACCTCCAGCGGCTGGGCTAGGCTGGGCTGGGCCAGTGCTGAAGGAGGGACCTAAGGATGCTCTCCGGATATGCCACATGGGTGACGGCATCCCAATTGCTTGTGTCATCACTGCTGCCTCCAGGTCGGAATTGGTGGGAACCTGGGGCTGGGATTCGGAGCTGTGTATTGTGGGAACCTGGGGCTGGGATTCGGAGCTGAGTATTGTTGGAACCTTGGCCTGGGATCAGGAGCTGTGTATTGTGGGAACCTGGGCCTGGGATCAGGAGCTGTGTATTGTGGGAACCTGGGCCTGGGATCAGGAGCTGTGTATTGTGGGAACCTGGGACTGGGATCAGGGACTGTATATCGTGGGAACCTGGGCCTGGGATCAGGAACTGTGTATTGTGGGAACCTGGAGGTGGGATCAAGAGCTGTATTGTGGGAACCTGGGACTGGGATTCGGAGCTGTGTAAGGTGGGAACCTGGAGCTTGGATGGGGAGCTGTGTATTGTGGGAACCTGGGACTGGGATCCTGGGATTGGGAGCTTATTGAGGGAACCTGGGACTGGGCTCCTGGGATCAGGAGCTTTGTATCGAAGCCAGGTATTTCAGTGTGGGACAGCATCTTGACCTGGAGGCCAAACATCTGCCCCACTGGATACTTTTTGAAGTATCTTTGTAATTTTTTCTTGTTGTGCTTTTGCTTTGCTTTTTCCTGATGGTTGTGGTGCTGAGCACTTTTTCATTTTCTTAATAGACATTTGTATGTCTTTCTTTGTGGGAGGAATGAAGAGCAGGATTTTATTTTTAGTGTGATTTATTACATTTTTCTTTTACAGTTGTAAGAAATCTTTGTCTGTTTTGCATCATGAGGATACTCTTCTTGGTGTAGAATGTCTTCTTTTAAAAGCCGTTTGTTTGGAGCTTTACTTTTTTGTGTTTACTTTTATGATCCATCTCAACTAAATTGTTGTGTATGGTAGGAGGAAGTAGTAAGCACTTTTTTCCCAGGTAGACATTTGAAGGTTTTTGGGATCATTTACTAAAAATATTGTCTTTTCCTTCTGACTTGTTCCCGAGTTTTTATTAAAATCCAACTAGCTAGGTATGAATGCATTTATGTTTTGGTTCTTCTGTTTCCACTAATCTGTGCCAACCTGGACTCACTGTGGCTCTACAAAACTTCTTTAAATCAGGCTGTGCTAGTCTTCCAACTTTGTTTTTCTTTTCTTTTGAAAGACTGTTTCGGTAATTCTCAGTCTTCATGTTTACATACCGAATCCTGAGTCAGCAGCTTGTTCTCCAGAAACCTGCCTGGATTCCAAAATATGGTATACACTCCATTTTCTTAGAACTTTAAAATTTTTCTCAATAACATTTTGTCATTTTCAGTATAGAGATTTCGATGCATCTTTAATTAAATTTATCCTTATTTTCTTTTTAAAAAGTTATTATAAATAATTTACTATTTAAAAATCTATGTTCTATTGATTATTTCATGTATGTAGCAGAGCAATGAATTTTTTTTAGTTGACCAGAAAAAAATTCTGATCAGTTTGAATGAGTACTTGGATATATACCTGTATGTTTTATGTATAAAACCATAGATTACTTTTCATATATGGCTTTCATTTGTTGTCATATGCAGGCTGTGACTCGCTATAAAATGCACGTGAAGGTTGCAGGAATGGGCGTCTTTGTCTTATATTCAGTCTTAAGGAGAAAGCATTTCTTCTTTCACCATGAAATATTACTTTAGTGTAGGTTTTCTCATGTAGTATCTTCACCATCTAAAGATTTTCTTCTTATAAACTATTGTGAAGAGCTAATGGTTTATGCTTTCTATCCTTGAATCAACAAATCAGTAGAATATGATATGCATCATTTCAAGGGTTTGTTTCTTAATAACCAAGTGTTTTAAGTAATACATTTGACAGCACATTGAAACTATGTTAGTATTTCACTTGCCATCCTTAAAATAAGCAATTAAATAATCACCATTATTTTATAACTTTTCCAAGCATTAATATTCATATTGAAGTGGAGTTCACTATAATTGACTGTTATTGTTTGTACTTAAAACGGACTGGAAGTTGATCTTCCTTTCTAGACACACACAATTTGATCATATATTTCTAGCTTATCTCAGGAAGCTTATACATCAGCCAGGGGATGTAGCTCACCTTGGGTGGTAGAGTGGAGACGGCTGAAAGTTCGTAGATGAGAGAAGGTTAGTCAAGGAACTAGGTTTTGAATACATAGAGCTTTTGGTAGCTTTCAAAAATAATTTGAAGGATACCAGCTTTAGTGCTCATTTTACTTCTTTTGTGGCATTGTGCATGGTTTATTTTTATTTTTATTGGGAAGGCAAATTTATGGAGAGAAGGAGAGACAGAAAAAACATCTTCCATCTGCTGGTTTACTCCCAAGTTGCTACAGTGGCCACCATTGAACCAATCTGAATTCAGGAGCCAGGAGCCTCTTCTTGGTCTCTCACGTGGATGGAGGATCCCAAGGCTTTGGGTCATCCTCTACTGCTTTCTTGGGCATAAGCAAGGAGCTGGATGGAAGTGGAACAGCCAGGACACTAACTGGGCCTCATATGGAATCCCAGCTCTTGGAGGTAGAAGATTAACCAATTGAGCCATAAGGCCAGGCTCAATAATTTTCAGAAAGTCCATGAAAACTGGATTTTTAGAAGAACTGCAGGGATTTAAAAAAGTATTACTTGAAAATAAACTTTTTAAAGTTTCGTTTTCCTAAAATGTTTTTGAAATCCTCTTGTATACTGCTTATAAAATTATTTTAAAAAATCGTTGCCAACTAATTTATCTTACTTTTCATTTTTATTTATTCTTGTAAATAGTTAATTCATTTGCTTGGATGTCCTGGTCGCAAAGGTTGGGGAGGGAGAGAGGGAAGGATGGATAGGAATGGATCTCCCCACCTGCTGATTCAGCCCTGACTGGGCCAGGATCTCCCGTGTGGCTGGCGGAGGCCAAAACACTTGGGCCATCTTCCACTGTTTTCCCAGGTGCCATTTTCAGGGAGCCGTACCCCAGAGGAGTGGGCAGAACTGTGACTGGCGTCCATGTGGGATGCTGGCATTTTAGATAATAGCTTAACCCAAGGGTGCCACGGTGTTGTAATTTATCCTATCTTTCTATGGATGCTTATTGTCTCTCTTGGTTTGCTGTTGATCTATTGAGTATTTGAACTCACTAGACTTTTAATAATGAAGGAATTTACACATATAAAAGAATATGTTAAACTCATCTAAGTTATAAATTAAAAAATTAGATTGCTTTGATTTATTACCTAATAAAGTTACCTAGTTTTAGCTGTTAAAGTAATTGTGAGGAATTCCAAATAATTACTCCTAGATATTTCTTGATTAGGATTCATTAGTTGAAAGGAGAGATAGTCAATGATGATTTAAAAATGGATGGCAGTAACAAAATATCTGATGGCTCCTAAAATGAAGAGAATTGGGAGTATTTATTAGAAAAGCAAAACCTGCTTTATGTAATGAGCCAAGTAAACATGCGATATTAATATCTTGTTTGTTGTTAGAGACTTACTTTATGGATTAGTTCCTGTTAGAAGCAACCCAGGAAAAAAGATAGAATATAAGAAACTGTCTACGGCCATTCCACCCTGAATGCGCCCGACCTCGTCTGATCCTGGAAGCTAAGCAGGCTCGGGCCTGGTTAGTACTTGGATGGGAGAATGTAAGAAACTAGCATAGTCAGTTTCCGAAAAGAAGAAAGGCTTGTTGGCATACCTTTGAAAGCATGCGTAGTGGATTAATTACAGTATTTTTAGATTCATATCCTTACTAGTTATTACTTTAGGAAACAAGCATAGTCAACTAGTCCAGTATTTGGATTTTCATTTTAATGAGATTTGTTTTGCCAGTTCACTAATTTAAAAATATTATGCTTCAGAGCTGTTTTAAAAATACATAAAGGTGCAGGTGCAACAGGTTAAGCCAATGCTTGAGATGCAAGCCCAGTTGTTTGTAATCCGGCCTCCTGCTAATGCATCCTGGCACCAGATGATGGCTTAAGGACAGGGTCCCTGGCAGCCTGGGGGAGACCTGGAGTTCCTGCTCCTGCTCTCTTGCTGGCCTCAATCTGGCTGCTGCTGGTACCGGAGAAGGAACCAAACCAGAAGACAGGAAGATCTCTCTCTCGCTCTGTCTTTTTTTCTGTCTTTCAAATAATTAAAAGAATAAGAACCACAAAATTTGTAAAGACTATGCTTTTAAAATGATTTGTTTACCTTACAGCAGCTGAGGGTGCTTTAGTAACAATGCTTAGTTGTTTGATGGTTTTGTGGTAAAGTGTATTATTTACTGCTTCTTTAAATGGAATGTGTTGAACTTATTTTCATTTATGTATATTTATGAAGTGTAAAATGTTAGATGCAATCTTACTTGATTTAAATGCTTTTAGGAATCTCTAAAAGTCAAAATGTGAGACCAGTATCGTGGTGCAGTGGGTTACACTTCTGATGCCGACATCCCATACCTGGGCAGCAGTTTGAATCCCAGCTACTCCTACTGGAGTGCCTGGGAAGGCAGCAGCGGTTGGCTGAGAGCTGATCCGGCTTCCTCCTGGCCAGCCTGGGAAGGCAGCAGTGGTTGGCCAAGTGCTGATCCGGCTTCCTCCTGGCCAGCCTGGAAAGGCAGCAGCAGTTGGGCGAGTGCCGTAGTGACTGGCACCACGTGGGAGTCTGGCATGGAGTTGTGGACTCCTGGCTTTGGACAGACTCAGACCTGGTTGGTTGGCCACTTGGGATGGGTGGGAAGATCTCTTTCTCTTTTGCTCTCTCACACTTCGTAAATAGTTGAAATGCTTCTGGCAAGATGTGACTTCTAGGTTATTTTGCATTAATTACAACTATTTCTTTTACTACCACTTGGCATTCTCTTTAACATTTGTTACCCTAACTTGTATTATAAGGTATTTGTTACCCTAACTTGTATTATAAGGTATTTCTGATAATGAGAAGTGTATTTGCTGGTCTACACTTTATTTTGAGCCTCCAAATATTTTAGCAATAACCTATTTTTCCTGGACAGAAGTTCAAAATAGAGTAAGCATTGCGCTTTCTGCTTTTTAGAAATCGTTTTTGTCTGATCTTACATAATTCTGAGACTCTTCCTCACTGGAGACCAGCAGGTGCAAGTGGCGGGTGGGGCTTCTCAGTTCAATGTTAGGAAGGGTGATTCTGACCTGTGTTAATGTGTAATTTCATACTTGGTCATGGTAGGCATTTACCGTCTCTCGCACCCACTTCATTTTGAAAAACATAAGGAGGGTCACCTACTTCATCTGAAGGGAACTTTTCATAGAGACACATGCATGAACACTCAACTCACAGTGCACGGCAGATAGAATGTTAAATGGTAGTCACCTTCAGGTTTCCTCTTAATTTTTCCTGATGTAAGTCAGAATTAATTTTAAATTAGTCCTTAAGCTACTTTTAAGAAAAGCAGTTTTTCTGTCAGAAATATGTACAAAATACTGAATAGTGTTCTCCTGTAAGCTGGATTGTTTGAGCTTTTTCCAACTTGGATGTGCGCAGCTCAGCTGCCCCAGCACTAGTTTCTTTGACCTTTTTTTCTTGTATTAGACAAAAAGTGGACTAAACCACTGTGTGTTGATTCTCTACCTTTGCTCTTCTCAGATCCTGTTAAAGCTTAAATATTCCTCTAGGTAGGTCTGAGTACAGGGGTGTTGATTCCAGAGTTCAGCATTTTTTGTAAAGGTGTGGCAGGAATCGGAAGGTTAGTAAAATGAATTTTATTTTGTTTCAATCAAAATATAACTACATGTTAGAGAGCAAGAATAATAGTCCTATCACTTGAGTTTCTGTAGACTGGGCTGATTTTAATAATTAATAAGTTTTTTCCTGCCAGTGAGCATTGGGTTACTGCTGACTTTTAGTGTCACAGTACCTGAGGGTGGTTTCTTACAGGGTTTAAAGGTGCATGCCAGGATTTTGTCTGTCCGTCCGTAGGAAATGATCCTTACAAATGAAGGGAGGGGAGAACGTCTGGAAGTTTGTAGATGCCGTTAATAGATCCCAAGGATTGGTCAGTTCCATTGTCGTCTTTGTCAGTCTTGATCGGAGCTCACAGAGTAAGTCTGCAAGCCTGCATGTGCCTGGCAACTGTTACCTAGTGACAGATTCAGCTGCAGTAGCCATTGGCTGTGCTGTTGATTGGGGCAGTGGGACCGAGTCACCTTTCTCGTGCTGAGTTCTGCATCAGCTTGGGATGAGGAGGAGGAGCAGGGCTGGGGCTCAGGTGGAGGCAGTGCAACTGAGAGATTGTCAAGAACAGATGACAGCATCCTGGGAGCTGCGTCCCAGTGAATCGCCTTCTCATCCAGCAGTCCAGCCTAGCAGCTGATGAGGGTGTGTAGGTGAGAAGCGTTACCTTATTCCTGTATCCGGAGAACTGTTTCATGATGAGTGATATTAGGATCTGCAGGAGGAATGTCCTGTGGCTATTTTAAAAGGAAGACTTCCCTGAATGACTTGGTGGTGCACCAGGAAAGAACTTTGAGAGGAATGCTTGCTGTGAAGCTGCTGCGTTGTTCCTGAAGACAATGCTTTTTATTTCTAGTGCATGCTGTTTCTTCAAAAGGTACGACAACAAAGATTGACAAGCTACTCTCTGAAATGCCTGTACTTTCCAAAAGACTTTGGCAAGTATTAGCCTGGGATCAGCATGACCTTGGAAGCCTTTTGGATGGATTTTATCCTGTCAGCCTTTCAGGATTTCAAACTTTAGGGCATAAACTCATCTTGATCCATCAGAGGTATTTTAATACAAGACTGTATGACAGCCTCCTACCTTATGGCCCCTGTATCAATTGAGCATTTGCTCAAAATAGAATACAGAAATAGGAGAGACGCTTTCTTAGCATATGGCTGCTTTGTAACTGCAAATACAGTAAATAAGGTAATTTTCCACTTTGAGAAGATTGAGCTGAAGAAATCATTTAATGGTAATCACCTAATGCAGCATGAAAAGGTACAGCAAAATAGAACATGAAGCTTTGTAGGAATATATGTCATAAGTAATGACAGATAAAATAGTCTCACAGTACAGGAAAGTTTATATGACTATCTAAATTTCAGAAATGTTTACATTTATGTGAGATGCAGGTATGCTTGCAAAGGTGAAAAACAACTGAACTATGTATTGTATTATCATGCCTCACCCCAAGGAAGGTGGCATATCAATTAGTGAAAGTTATTCTTAGTTATAAATTTATGTGCTGAAATTAGTGGTAAAAACTATTTTCATTTTGAAAGGGAAGATGTATAAGTTCTATTTGTGATACGAGCATCAGTAACTATCCTGGACTAAAACTGTATTTATCTAAATGCATAAAAAGCATGAAGAATTAAAACTGTGGAAGTTTATAAGTTGTCATGTGTCAATCTGTTAATCATCGTATATTTTCTGCCCCATTGAGAATATCGCTTTTTTTTTCTCATGGAAGTTATGAGGTAATTCAGGGTTTGTGAAACCTGTTCTGCTGCTTTGTGCTGATAGAAAGGTGAATCTTTGAAATTAGCTAATAATTTTTCATAGAAACAGAGAAAATGGACTCTAAGGATGATCGACAAACATCAAACCCTACACTGAACCCAAAGATCATTTTTGCCACAATGAACTTTTATTGCTTCCAATCAAATCTGAGCTCTCCATTATTTAAATTCTAAAATATGAGTGCATTTGCCATCGTAAGTGAAGCAGGAAGACATTTTAACACTTTCTTTTCTCATTCCATCGAGTTGATCTAAGAAGGCACCCCTTTCAGGAGAATAAACAACCCCCAGAAGCTTTGGCGATTGTTGACGTGTCTGCTTGTCTTCTTTTGCAGATTGGGGTAGTAGGAAGTGCGTTTTCTCTAGAAGTCCTTGTATCTGCACAGAGTTGTCTGAGAGCCCTGGAGGAAGCTAATCGGTGACCTCTTTTCACCTCCTTTCTAGCTAACATCCCTCCTCTCCCCTCAGAGCTGAGGTGTGTCACTGCTGAACTGAGTCTGAGGACGAGACTTGCACGCTCTCTGGGACACTCAGCCTTCACAGAAGCTCTGAGGCTGTCTGCCGACGGGTTCTGACACAGCTCGGGTGCAGAGCGTGACAGATGCTAGGCAGGGCACTTGCTTGTCCTAGCCCAGGCTGCAGGTTCTTGTGATTTCAAGCCATGAATGAGTCCAAGTGGATGGAATGGAGGACCCTGAACCTGAGCACTGGCCTCGTGAACGTGTCCAAGCATCACTCGTGCCCACTTGGATTTGGTTACTACGGCGCGGTGGATGTCTGCATCTTTGAGACCATTGTTATTGTCTTGCTGACATTTCTGATCATTGCTGGAAATCTAACAGTCATCTTTGTCTTTCATTGTGCTCCACTCTTACATCATTATACTACCAGCTATTTCATACAGACAATGGCCTATGCTGATCTTTTCGTTGGAGTGAGCTGCTTGGTTCCTACTCTCTCCCTTCTGCACTACTCCACAGGTGTCCACGAGTCACTGACTTGCCAGGTTTTTGGATATATCATTTCAGTCTTGAAAAGTGTTTCTATGGCATGTCTTGCTTGCATCAGTGTGGATCGCTATCTTGCAATAACCAAGCCTCTTTCCTACAATCAACTGGTCACCCCTTGTCGCCTGAGAGTTTGCATCGTTTTGATCTGGATCTACTCCTGCCTAATTTTCTTACCTTCCTTTTTTGGCTGGGGGAAACCTGGTTTCCATGGTGACATTTTTGAGTGGTGTGCCACATCTTGGCTTACTAGTGCCTATTTTACTGGCTTTATTGTTTGTTTACTCTACGCTCCTGCTGCCTGTGTTGTCTGCTTCACCTACTTCCACATATTCAGAATTTGCCGGCAGCACACCAAAGAGATAAACGACCGAAGAGCTCGATTCCCTAGCCACGAGGTCGATGCTTCCAGAGAAACCGGACACAGCCCTGACCGTCGTTATGCCATGGTTTTATTTAGGATAACCAGTGTGTTTTACATGCTGTGGCTCCCCTATATCATTTACTTTCTTCTAGAAAGCTCCCGAGTCTTAGACAACCCAACATTGTCCTTCCTGACAACCTGGCTTGCTATAAGTAACAGCTTTTGTAACTGTGTGATCTATAGCCTCTCTAACAGCGTTTTCCGCCTTGGCCTCCGAAGACTGTCCGAGACAATGTGCACGCCTTGTCTCTGTGTCAAAGACCGGGAAGTGCAAGACCCCAAGCCCAGGAAACGGGCTAACTCCTGCTCCATTTGAAGAGAACCAATCAGTAAATCCAGTGCAGTGTGTAGCGTGACCATGGTCTTGGGTTGTGTTCTTGATTCCTCTGGAAATTTGCCACCTGAGAAATATTTACTTGAATAGTTGACTATGAAATGAAGGATGGAACTAAGGTTTCTTTTTGTCCCCTTTCATGAAAAAAAAAAACTGAAAAAAAAAGACTGTATAGACGACAATCTAATGAGGATTATAGTGTGTGAGTGTAAATGTACAGTATTAAGAAAAATTAAGCACTGAGGTTGAAAAACGTGTCTCAGTTCTTATAACAGGATGCAAGCCAGCCCCCGGTGTCCCTGTCTGCTGCGTCCTTGTCCTCTGTGTACTCGCATTTGGTGCCTCCATTTCTCCGTGTTTGTGGAAGTTACTACTTAGGTGTATTGCTCCTAATAGAAAAAAAAATGCTGCACATTATATATGTGGAGAAGTATAATCTTTGTGCCCAAGTGTACTGTTAAGCACATTAGTCGATAATCCTTAAGTGGTCTTTTCAAGAACGTTCACTAAAGTGTTGTATTTTGTTATTTACCACAGGAGCTTTTAGCTCATATTTTTATAGTCTTTGCAGCAAAAATTTCATGCTACAAAGAGAAGCAGTACTTTTGTTTCTTCTAGGTAAAATAGTATTTGCTTCTCTCCCTATCCCCATGTTTCTAACAAACTGCAATTTTCTCTCTCTCCATGTTTCTTGATCTGTATCCTTTTGGTATGTTACTCCTGAATTGTCTTAGCTAATGAAGGAAGCTACTGCATAAAGCAACCATAATGGGAAATAATTTATCTGCTCCAACAAAATAATCTAGCAGTAGGCTGTTAAATATTTTAATGGCTTTGGAAATGTTTTCATATGGTTCATTTTAATGAATATACCTAAAGTGGTGGGGTTTTTGGTTCTGTTTGTTTTGTTCTGTTTTGTTTTGCTGAAGTGAAGCTAAGTTTTTGTCTAGGAAAACCCGGAAGTGTTTCTGTTACAGAGTTTGGATAATAACCCAGCAGTCAGTTGTCATTATTAAGGCTTCCTGGGATGTCCTTTAGAGCAAACAAAGCAGAAAGTAAAATATTAACCTTCTTGTGTTAGGTCTGCATTATCTTCCTGTTGTGTCACCTAGTCCTTTGTGTAATAAGAATTTGCAGATATTATATTTTTTACAACAAGGAAATATAAACTATATTACGTGATTTGTGCGTAATGTTTTCTTAGCATAATATCTGGATCAATGTTGCTTAAGTTGTCAACCTTGGGAAAAGTATATCAAAAACTTATTTTAAGAGAAAAATACTTTTGTGTGAATATTATTTAGATATTTATATTAGACAAAGCTATATTCTTAGTGCTCCTGAGATTAATAATATGCCTAGTTATCAGGTACAGGTAAGAACTGTCAGTATTTTCATTTGTAATGACAGGTTTTCAGGTGCAGAGAGTAAGTTATCTTTTAGTGTGCTGTATGGGATTGTGTAATGCTTTGTCAAAGGTTTGGGTGAGGCAGAAGTCAGTTGGGGAATTAGTTGTGCAGCAAGTATAAACAGTAAAACATGTATATCTTTTTTATTTTTATCCTATGTTTCCTGTCTGAAGATATTTTAAAATTTATATTGAACTACTATTTTTCTTCTCAGCGTTTTTGATTTCTTTGTTGTATGAAGTGCATTTAATAAAATGTGCCTATGACTTCAAATTAGAAGCCAGCTGTGTTTGCACATTGGTGACTGGATTCCAGGGACCCTTGTGTGGAAATGCTGTTGTTCTGAAGCCCTGGACGTGTAAGAACAATGTCAGTGAAGAGTAAACCAGTATTCTATATACCAACTTCAGGCTTTGCCTTCTGCTCAAACACTTGTTTAGAACAAGACTTGACTTGTTTGTGAATTAAAATCTAATTGTCTTAGACTTGCTTAGCTTTGTTTTATATTGATTCTTGTTCCTTGTTTTCCTGTACCAGATTAGTTGAGGTGTTTCTTTTCAATTGATCTGTTCAAGGAAACAGAGACCTGCTAACTTTAAGATCTAAATAAAAGCTTCAATATTGTATGTATTACTTGGGAATCATATTTGGCCTTAGAGTATCTTAAAAATCAGCAGATAAATGTAGAAATTCTATACAAAAATGATAAGGCTGCACTTATGTGTTTCTTCTGCCTTTTGCTCCGGATAACTGTAACACCTTACACACGGGCTCCATGTTAAATTTTACCTGTGTGACAACATTCACTCTTCCCTTCAGCCCTTTGAAATGGTGCTGTTACTGTTCTTAGTTGGGAGATGAGAAAAGACAAGTGATTGATCCAGGGTCACTCAGCCACTCAGTGTTACAGCTTCCAGCACACCCCGATGTCCTGGAACCTAAGTGTATAATGTTCCCCAGGGCACTTGACTATTTGCTTTTTAAAAACCCTTTAAAACTTTGCACCTTCTTTTTGTACATTTTGCCTATAGCATTTCTGTAAGTTTTATTATTTTTTCTTTGTCTTAACTCATTTGCTTGGTTTATTTCCTTGTGGTACTTTTTCTGATCTTATAACATATTTTTATTGCAACAGCAATCTGAGAAACAAACTTATAAGTTTGAGCTGTAATCAAGCTGAAGTTCTGGGGCTTGACATCTGCTTAATATATTTTTATTCACTGTTTGTCAAAATTTCCTGAAAAAGCTTCAAATCTCTATGAATTTCTGTTTGAAAAAAAAATTTATGAAGGGAAAGAATATAAAAGAAAAGCTTTACAGTGGAATGAAAGTCATCAGTTACAGGTCTTCATTTACTGTAATGTTTCAAGTGTAAATGTAAGGGAAACCACTTCTTTTGACATTATAATACATGTTCATATCCAATTATAAAACTTGCAAAATATTTCTTTTCTTTGCTAAGTATCTAAGTTGTTTGTAAATGGTCCCACACTCCACTGGTATGTTCTGTCATCTAAGGATTCTATTATTTATGTAGTTTTTCTGAAGTTGTGCAGTATTGAAAGGATTAATAATCTTTTAGTGTATGATACCTGAATTGAAAACTTGGCCCTCAAAAGCACTTTAGCTTAGGTGAGGCAGTGAATGTTTCAAAAACTAGTTTTTGTCATTGACCTCATAGCTCCTTGTTTAAATGGACTGGAGGCCCAATCAGACCTTGTGGTCTGAGTGCTCACCGTGATTCCGGCACAGACAAAATGTTGTTGACAAGATGGGAGCTGCTGTGTTGTTGCCTTTGTGAGTTTTATATATATATATATATAAACATACACACACATATATACACAAATACATGTATAATTACACATATGTACATATCATATATGTACATATATACATGTATATATGTGTGGGTGTATATATATATATATACACACACACACACACACGTTATGATCACAACTTAAAGATGACTAATAGAAAGTTAACCCAAATGAAGCTCTTGATTTTTTAGAGTATTCTAAGATAAAGTTTTCTATATTTAACAGATTGAGGTTTAACTCAGATGTTTTGAAATACACGAAAAGTTTTATTTTCTGAAGTTTTCTATGTTTGACAGATGGAGGTTAAACTGAAATATTTTGAAACACAGCGAAGCTTCACTTTCTAGAAGGTAAATTTGTATGAATCATTTTGAGAAAATCGCTGCAGAGTAAGATCTGGCCAGCAGATGTTGAGCCGAGCCAGTTAGAGGTTATTGTGAGATGAACCTGTCTGCCTACTTGGCTGTGCTGAATGTGCTTGGCCGTCTTGCTTTCTCATTACGGTGGGAGAGGTGGGAGAGGCTTACCTATGCACGCCTTAACAGTTATTTTGTTGTAATCTTCTTCAGTTATCAGAATGAAATTTAAGATATTTTGTCACATCTTACATATGCATGATACCTGGAAGAAACAATAATTAATTGATTTGCTGAAAGATAACATGAATTGTATGAGTCTAAAATGAAGTCATTGCTGTCAAGGACTTCTCTCTGTCCTTCCCTGTATTGGATATTATTAATTATTGGACTTGTACTAAGCAGCTAAAAATACAATTCCGATGTGAAGAATCTACTGCTAGAATGTTGTTAGTGGAGTATCACTGTGTTTGGGGAGGTTGCTGCTGTGCCTAGGGTGTGTGTTGAACCGTCAGTGCCATAGTTCACATGTAGGTCTCAACCTATATGTTGCTCTATGTGTTTGTTCTCTGAAGAAAATTTGACTTAGGATTTTAAAGAATCAATAAAAAGTGACACCTTCTATTACCAAATGTGTAGGTGTTAGGGAAAGCAATGGTTAAAAAAAGATTTTTATTTGCAACATTACTGTTAAATGAAATTTCATTCAGTGTTAGTTTTGTTCTATAATTTAAGGTATTTGTAACTTGAAAATATAATAAAACAGCTGTTTTTCAAAACACAAAAAGTAATATATCATCAGATTTTTTACCGTCCTTTGTTTAAAGTTCTTAAAGGGAGTGTTTCTTTTATAATTAGGAAAAGATTTTATTAGAAAGGATGTTGAGTATTTCTGAAGATTTATTTATTTGAATAAAGAGAAAGAAGTGTCTAAAGTTGCCAGATGCTTGTATAGGCAGGAGTAGGCCAGCGAGAAGCCAGGGCAGGATCTCCGTGTGGGTCTGTGCAGTGGGTGTCTGAAACCCAGGCCTTTGGGCCACCGTCGGCCGCCTCCCAGGCACATTAGGAGGAAGCTGAATCTGAAGTTCAGAGTGATCAGTGATACCGGGTGCAGGCAGTGTGCTGTGCTGCTGCACGCACTCCAAATGCTGAGCGCTTCTAGAAATGTTCCCCGACTCCCGGCAGCATACCTTAAAGTAATACTGCAGGCCTCTCACCTCTGGTGTCTCAGTCCTTTTAGAAGACACTTTGTTTAGCTCTCTAATTTCTGTGTTTGTTATTTCAGAGGGATTTTTTAGAGAAACTTGATGACTTTCTACTTGTAGTGTTGGGTGTCAATGGGTATCTTTACATTAGCGTTAAATTTTGCCACATTGTTTGCTGAATCTCAGCCAGTGTATCATTCTTTAGTGTAGGATTGATTGACGCCTCTGGAAGATCCACATCATTACACAGCAGGAGGCTGACCCGCCCTGGGGAAAGGCACCTGCTGCACTGATCCCATTTCCTACAGGCAGTTTACCTTCAGTCCTCCTCGGAAGGTCATACCTTTCTTCATATTCATATCTCTAACTTTTTAGTGGTAACCTTTATTGTTTTTATATATAGCTTCCCATGAAAATGAAGAAAATCACAGTGATAAAAGCACCATGAATTCGTGGTGTTTTTTTTCTGATACTTTTTAAAAAAGATTTATTTGTTTATTTGATAGTCAGCGTTATAGAGAAGAGAGGAGAAAGATCGACTTTGCATCTGCTGGTTTATGGCTCAGGGCCAAGGACAGGAGCCGGGAGCTTCCCTGGGTTCTTCCATGTGGAATGAGGGGCACAAGTTCTCGGGCCATCTTTTGCTCTTTTCGCAGGCTGTTATTTGGGAACCGCTGGGGCACAAACCAGAGCCTGCATGGGATGCTGGCCCGGCAGATGGCAGCTCTCCGTGCTGTGCCACCATGCTGGTAGCCCCTCTCTGGTAAATATTTAACATTAAAAGGCAAATAGGATGTTGGCACATTTACCACAAAAAAGGGGGAACAAATAAACTTACTAGAGTGTGATAAACTTACTACATTTTAGATGATAAATAATATATACTGGTAGAATTCATTGAATGGAAAATATTGGCTAAATTTCTACAGTCCCCAGATATGATATTTTACTAAGGTGAAATGATGTATATCAATTAATATATAATATATAGTCACTATCTTTGACTTTTAAAAATTTGAACCCAGTTTTGTTCTGTTTTCTACTGACGTAAAGATCAGTAAGATTGATGCCGATTACAGTGTTCAAATACGCTACACGAATTCAAGGATTTTGTACTATTTTAATTGCAATGAAAACGAAGTGCCAACTTATATACCCTGTTTTTTAAACCTCAAATTGTAGCTTTATTTTTAAAAATATGTATTTTCATTGACCAAATAATTACACATGTGTATGAGGTACAGTTTATTCTTTCAGTGCATGTGTGTAATGTCTGCTGGTCAGGTCAGGATAATGGTGTGTCCATCCCTACTGGCTGTTTGAGATACACAAGTAAATTTCAGCAGACTTGGTTATGCTAGTACAAAACCCTGAAACTTGTTCCTCATGTACTCTTGAACCCTTAGGCCTCTGTCTTCCCAACCCTGTGGATCAATTCTCTATTTTCAACTAAGAAATATTCAACCTCAAAAAAAACAGCATTTGTTTGATAAAGAGAGGGGAGTGTTTTCAGCTTGTTTACTGCCCAGCTGCCCAGGATGGCCGCCTGGGTCAAGGCCAGCGCTGTGAGCCAAGAACTCAGTCTAGCTTTCCCACAGGAGTGGCAGGACCTCAGTAACCTGGGCTGTCGGCCTGAAGTTGGGATCTAGACCCGAGGTGGGTATCAAACTCGGGCTTGGTGAGAGTGAGTTCCAGACTTCCACCTTTGGGCTCCCGTTTGTAGCTTTCACATGTAAGAGAGAACATGAGTACTTACCGTTCTGTGTCTGATATCCTTTATTTAATATAATGCCTTTCAGTGTAGTACTGTCCATGTTGCTGCAAATGATAAAATTTTCATTCTTCTTTAAATTTTGTGTGTTTTGTGTATTTCTGTATTCACTTGTCAGTATCTTTGAATGAAATGCAGTGTTGCAGTACATGAACAGTGCCTTAGAGATTGTACCTTGCACAGAGTAGTGTGGGCGCATATGTTCCTAATAGCATTTATTTGAAAAGCAGAGACAAAGCCGGACAGACACTGACCTAGATCCTCTTACTGATTTATTCCCCAAATGCCTGCCATAGTCAGGGTTGGGCCAAAGTGAAGCCAGGAGCTAAGCTGATCTGAAGCCAGGAGCCTCTTCCAGGTC